CAGGACTGTGGCTTTACTAGATGCTCAATTTAACATTTTAGCTTGTCTTTCCCCCAGACAAAAACTAATGACCATATTTGAGAAACAAGCCTCCTTTTAACTTATAAATGGGGCTGACGCACATGTGTGGCTCTGAAGTCGACCAAAACTTATTTTAACTTTAAAAGTGGGTCACTTTTTCCCTCTGTTTTTCAACTCACAATTAAAACACTCTCATTCTTTCCCAGTTTGTAGGAGACCTGTATTTGGCCATTACTGTATAATTATGGGTCTATGTGCTTTGGTGTAAATACTAAATTATTTATTTATGTCAGTCAGTCACAGAAACCAGAAAATGTGAATACCACTTGACTGAAAGTATTCCAACCTTCTAAGACTGAGAACCTTTCCAAGCTTTTGAGGATAGAAGTCATGTTTTGTGACCAACTATACTATATACTATATACTATATATACTATACTATAACTTGGTAGAAACTAAATACTCAGTCAAGTGCATAGAGGTGCTGGGTAAATACTGATGAGGATGATCGACGAAGAAGTAGTCTGTTTGATAAAAGCCATTAAAATATAGATGCACTTATTTGGGATAAATTATGATCATTTGAGCTCAACTCAAGAGCTGAGGTACAAATAAGCACCATGGTCTGCTGCCTGTTTATTCCAGGAGAATATTATTTCTCCTGGAATTCAGCAGTTATACAAAATTGATTCAGCTGTGGAAAATTAAAGTAATAAGATATTTGAATGCATTAACTTGTCTTCAAATATGAAGATAACACCCGTAACCGCTTCACAAGATTGTAGCGATGACTACATGCATCAGTATGGTTAAAAACACTTAGGAAAATACTCAATCCAAAGTGAGTAGTATGTTAAGTGTTAGCTATTATTATTAGGGTGAGAAATTGAAATTCTTCCATTCCCCCCTCTGCTGCTTGCTGTGTCTTATAAGATGGAGAGATGATGAAATTATGGGGAAGACTGATGTAATCACTGAAACTGGCAAACCAAAACAATGGGGACAGTCTGACAGATTAAGGAAGTTGATCGAGGAGGGAACTGAGGAAAGGCACAGGAGATGCCCCGTGTTTGCTGCAGCTGGGGGGGAGACGCCCTAGAATGTGGATATCTAATCTGGTGGCAACTCCTCAGAACTTCAAAATGGAAACAGTGTGAAACATACTTTTTTTTTAAACTTAAAGTTTCAAAGTTTTGTTTTTGTTTTGTTTTTTTTTAACATTTAGTTGTTTATTTTAGAGAAAGAGTGAGTGCGGAGGGGGAGAGGGAGAGAGAGAGAATCCCAAGCAGACTTTCCACTGAGTGGGGAGCCCGGTGGGGCTCGATCCCACGACCTGGAGATCACAACCTCAGCCGAAATCAAGAGCTGGACGCTTAACCCACTGAGCCACCCAGGTGGCCCGAAACAAGAACACTTTTGATTTAAGCACATTGCCATCTGGCAAAATAGGGAAACTTGAAACTCTTGGAATCTGTTGACAATGGTTAGTTCTGTATTTTGATGGGGCTCTAATTCTAATTTTTATGCCCGCAGGGTTCAATATGCAGATGGCATAGCCTTATTTCAGTTGATGATTTCTGGGGGTTGGGAAACTAGCTGACAAAAAACCCTAAAGAGACAATTAGACTAATATAAATAATGTCATTCTGCTATAAAATCTTCTATTAGTCATAAAATCCAGAGCCTTCACAATCTTACTTTCTAAATTGTGACTCTTCATTAATATAATCACATGAGCAAGTTTCTTAATTTTATTTCATCTAAGCTGATATAAAAATTTGTTTGCCCTTTCTCCTGTATACATTAAGGGCCTTTATTTTGTAAGTAACAAGGAGAAGTTGACTTGAGAACTTTCTAGAATAATCCAAAGTAATTAAGCAAAAGTTAATGATATCTGTTCCCGTGTTTTCTGTCATCAAAGAAGCCCATTATCGGTGCAATAATTTCGGTAAGGGTAGTTAAGTTTTAGCTCAAAGAATGTTTTTAGATTAAAATAATGAGATTATAATTTTGTCTGCTTGCTGTAGTCATTGGACAATTTCTTAAATACCTTGAACTCAAGGTCCATTTAGTGCTTTGAGGCTAAAATGAAGAATAGTGTTTTGGCAAAGAGGAAGCATGGTCGAATGCAAAATATTGTATGATTACTGTAGCTTCTTTCATGGCAGTCACTGCGGGAACTCAGTAAATATTAAGTTAATAAGTGAAGTCAAAGAAAAGACTTCTGTGCATATCTCAGGAGCTGAGAGAAAATACTAGTGACAACTTTTCAATTCAGTCAATGTCATTAGCGCCTCCCATGTGCTAGGAGAGCTAGAGAAGGGGCTCAGGCTGTCAGCAAAAAGGACTTGGCGCTAAAACAGTGTGATTACTGCTATACTTACTCTAAGATCAAAGCACTAAGCAGGCACGCACAGAAGAAACCGTTAGTGGGGGCAAGGAAGATGGGGGAAGGGTCCAGTAAGGAAGACCTCAAAAAGGACACGTTTCTCGATGTAAGCCTTGAAAACTGACCGTAAGTTTTACAAATAAAAGAAAGCGGTCAGAGCAACAGTTGGAGCAAAAAGAAGTGAAAGAGCATGGAACTTTCTGGTGGCTTGTGGTCTTGTGCACCCAGAACGTGGCCAAGAGAGGATGGGGGAGAGCCAGAGAAGAAGGAAGTGACAAGAAATAAGGTTGGGGAAGTGGTTGAGGCAAGCTGGTGAAGGCACACAATTCTTTAGTAAAATTATACATTAATTAAAAGAGAATATTTCTTTATTATTATATGAAACCCACAGTGATATAGCTTACTTATAAAAATAAAAATGCTTCTGGGTTTACTGTGAATTTTTTTCTTTCTTTCCCTCTCTCTCTCTCTCTCTCTTTCTTTCTCCCCCTCCCTCCCTTAAAATTATGAGCGCCAAGATCTCTTCAGTCAGCTTCAGAAATAAAAGCCTCTAATGATCTACGTCTAGGAAAAAGATGCTGGTGTGGAAGAGGGGATCTAAAATAAACAGCTGCTTATAAAGAAGCAATATGGAGCTGAACATCCTGGCTATCTACCATTCCTCGACCCTCCAAATGCCCAGTGACCTTTGGCCAGTTCCTTCCATGGTGAGTCCACGCCTCAGGTCTAAGGGCGGTTAAGAGAATTACGTGAGATAATGCATAAAGACTGGCTGCATATATTAAGTACATATAAATATTATAATAATATTATCACCTGTCTTCTTTAAGTAGGTAATATTTGAATGAGACTTGTCCACCTCCTCCCCTTCTTCAAAGGGATTGGAAAAAGAATTATAAATGAGATTAAAATACTGAAATTGTTTGCTAAGTTACCGATTGTTTCGAGGCATACTCCCCTTTATAAACTAAAGGAGACAAAATTTAAAATGTGACAAAGAAAAGCATCCCTGAGATAGCTAATGAAAAGTCCCACCATAGCAGTGCTTGCTCAAAGGACAAGACCCAGAAGATTTTTCCCTGATGTTACTGGGGGTGAGCTGGAATGAAGAGAAATGGATATTTTGTAACACTTGAACAGTCTAAACTTGATTTAAATCAAGAGAGTTTTTTTCTTATTTTGAATTAACTTTTTCACATTCCATTTTATTTCCTCCTGAAGTAAGGAAAATACTGACATACCTTCACATTTTAATTTATTTTGTTCTCATTAACATTTTTACTGGAAATAAGACAGAGCATTTTTTTAATTTGTTCTCTTCTGGGATTCAGGTCCTCCTCTCCCAATTCCACATTCTTGCTAGTTTGAAACCATTCAGGAAAGATGTGTAAAACAATACGGACAGCCACATTTTGCAACTTTCAGAAATTCGCATTTATAGGCAAATGACTAATTCCATTCAAATTTGCCTGTGCAGATGTTCTTTGAAAATTTTTATTTAATAGAAACCAGTTTATGATCGATCAATTTATGTAAATTTAAAATTAAGACATGGCGAATAAACCACCCTTGTCAACTGAGTTTTTTTTTTTTAAGTTGTCCTGAGGAAATAACTTTAGAACACAATTTGCTCTATTGAATAAGAAAAATTGGGTTTTGATAAGCATCCTGATAAATTAATCCATTTCCACCCCAAATGGCTTTTTCTGTTTATCATCTGTCGATGGTTCTTAATACCGTTGAATAGGATAATTAAACGAAGGTTGATGCTACAAGATCCAAAGTCTATGTTTCAACAGAGCTTCTGGAGTAAATAGCCCATATCAACTCTATCAGAATTTCTGTTATAGACAGAAGCCTTTCATCCAGACCTTAACAGTCATTTGGTCATAAGCCTAACCAATAGTTGAGACAATTCTGCAAAAACAGTACAGTTAAGCAAGGCAAATTACTTTTATTTCTACAGAATAAAGAAAGAAGAGGCACCTCGGATGCCTTGTGGTTATTAAACACACCCATTAAAAACCGTTGGCACCAAAATCACACAAATACCGAGTAACACACTCAGTAATGTATGACTCAAGATGTTAATATAACCACTCAAGTACTGTAAAGAAACTTTTAGAAAAACAGAACCACAGGAGCTAAAATTAAACTACTCCCACTAGGCCAACGAGCAGCACAATCTAAGTGATCAATATGCACTTTCCTGAAAACATTTTAAGGTAGATAAAATCACAGTAAATAGCCTCCCTGAAATGGAGCAAGAGAAATAAATCAAAACATGGTTTGGTTTGAAAGGGGGGGAAAAAGAAGAATCATTGTTTTGGGGGGTGATAGCTGTGGGTAACTAGAGAAGCAGCCCTCCCCCCGCCAGAAAACTGAGGGGTCCCACTCTGGGCAGCCACACGAGGTGGCTGCAGCTTGGTGGGGCAGTTAACCCGTGGCATGTCTCACACAGGGCTCGGGTGACAGGTGCTAGGGTCTCAGGCCCCGAAGGCAGAACCCACAATCCACAGAAACAGAGCCGCCCAACGAGCAAAACATCGTAAGCGCTTAGAAACGACAAAAAGACATGAAGAAAGTTTACCTTGTAGAAGAACTGTCCTTAGTGGTACCGGTGTGTGACCAGAAACCCCCTTCTTTCTGATCTGCAGAACAACTTTGTCAAACCCGGGTGTGCAGTCACAAGGCAGGAAGTGACTAGAATGACAAATCATCAGCCAGGAAAGAAATAGATTTTGTCTTTATAAGGACATTTTACCGAACTTTTTTTTTTTTCTTTCATGTCTCCTCCCCCACAGGAATCACCTGACAGAACAGGTCACACTGAAATTCAGAAGTTTCTTACCACTTCCTCTTTATAAAGTATTTCTCTCCCTCCTTCCCTTTCTTTCTTCTCTAGCTGTCTCTTAGGCTCTGGGCTGCTTAAACCTGTCTGATTTCAGATAACAAGGCAAGGTCAGCCTGCTACCTTTACTAGTTGCTCTGACCCCCGGCTGCAAATGCAAAGCCCAGGTGCCTGGCTACTTAGAGCAAAGACAAACGATTAGTGGAGTAGCCAGGGGGGAAAGGCGGCAGGTACACCTGAAGCAAACTAAAAAGGATTTCCTTGGGAAAGCCCCGCCCCAGCCAAAACCTAACCTTGCTTAAGCGTCCCTGAACAATGATCTTATTCGAGCAAACAAAACAAAATGGTCTCTTTAAGGGGAAGGACCTACAAAAGAAAGGCCGCTATATTATTTACGCATTCTTTTATTTATAGAACATCTATGTGCTAGGGATCTCTTTAACCCAATTAAAGATTTCAATTATTTAGACGCTTCCTATAAAGAGCACCGGTGGATCACACAGGCAGCTGCTGGAGTTCAATGGGTAGCTAGATTCCTTCCTACAGACCAGATTTATTTTTTGAACACACATTTTATAAAATGAGCAAGAGAATTAAAAAAAAATAAAAAGCTCTATTCTATGCCTAAACCCTGGATGCGGGTCTTGAGGGCAAATTCCCATTTTCAAAAGTTAAGTGCTCAAGTATCCATGGCCTCATGGAGGCTGTGAAGGTCGTGTTAGTGCCCGGAGTCGTGTTAACTAAACATGAAGCATCATCTCCAGATTGTCCCCAAACTGTGTGTGGTTCCAACGGTCAGCTGTTGAGGAATGAGGATTATGGCTGCGCTTCAATCTGATGACAGTGCTTGATCATTCTATATGCTTCTGTAGTTGCTGGGGGCCTGGGACGCAACCAGCGGGTACTCTGGTTGGGGAGCTGCCCTTATACTTCTTTTGCTCTTTGATTTCTTCTCTAGAAAGTTCCTGCTTCTGACCTCAAATGTTAAGCCAAGATATTTCTGATTTATCTACTTCATTAGCCCCTGGTGTGGCAACTTCTTGGTCAGAACCACACAGAGGCCATCTTGAAGAAGAGGGTAGACAGAGTAATGGAAGAGATGTTGGAGATTCGGTCCAATCTGAAAGTGGTTCACCTCCAGAGAACTATCAGCCCTCTTGTGACTCCCAAGGAAGACTGAGAGGGTGAATCAGACCCTGTTTTCTCCATTGCATAATTACTCCCAACTAATAGAATGCAGAGGGGTCTCAAGAAGCACCTAAATTCTTTCGGGACACCAAAGAAACACCCGTGCATCATTGTGACCATACTGGTCCCACTACAAAGCAGCCAAATGCTAGTGGTTTCTACTCTGGTGGAAACAATCACCACTCTGGGCCCTGCAGTCAGACTCTCCAGATAATGTCCTGATGGTTTGAGGATGAAAACATGTGAAACGTGGAGCTCCCTAATCTGGTTCTACATCCCAGGTTGGAATGATGAACGGAATGAAGACCCAGGAGTAACACATCATAAAGGGGAACAGAGACTCATTGCATTTACCTGGGAGAAGGAGAGCAGCTGCATCCTGATTCTACTGGTGCCTGGTCATTGGAGAACTGAGGAATTTGTGAAGAAGAGCACAATATAGTTGTGCATTGGTTCAACAAGCATTCAAGTGCCTGTTTGTAGGCACTGGTGCTTCAGAGATGAATATGGAACAATCACTGCTCTCAAGGAGCACATAGTCTAGTCAAGAAGAAGACCATGTATGTAAATGAATGACACCTGTTAGGAAAAGGGGTGCAAAGGGCCGCGGAATGCTGTGGCAGGTGCAGATGGGAGCAGAGCTGACACGGGAAGAAGGTGAAACACGTGTGGTGATGACGAGCCGTCAGAGGAAGGATTCAGGATTCCAGACAACATCTAGTTTCTGGAAGATGAAAGCCACTGAATTGTGCCCCTTTACCACCCATTTGAAGGAGGCTTCTACTCGAGCACCAACTCAGCTTCGGCTCCACTCGGCCACCCACCGGCACCTCACCCACATCCTGGACTACTCCCTCTATCTGAATCACTTTGTCTGCCTCTCAGCAGCATATGCCTACCCAGATACCGGCAATTATTTAGGTCTCAGATCAAGGCTTTTTCAGAGGGTCAGATTTTATCACTGTCGGTGTTTAGAACAGCTTGTACATCATGATAAGAAGCAGAAAACTGACTTTGGTTTTACTACTATTTTTCTGTTCTCTACAGACCATGCACCTTTGATGGCAGACCCCAAAGAGGACCTCCCTCACCCTCCATCAGCCTCTACTGCCACCTCTGCCATTTCTTCACTGGCCTGTCCTTTGCTTTCCCTCTACCCCTGCTGCCCTCCCCTACTCCCCCACCTCTGGGCTGCTCAGAAGCCCATGGCCTCAGTCCCTAATTCCACACCTAATTCCTCATCAGCACTGGATGCTGCTGAAGCAAGTCACAGAAATACAGACTTAGAGTTCAATCTGCTTGCCTTCAAATTACTGCTCAGAAATACTTTTATTCAATGTCATTAGTTCCTGAGAGCAAGCATTACCAACCAGGTGTCTCTTGACTTCTAAAGTTATATGCCTAATTTTGTGTGTATGTTCTTCTTCCTGGGTTCATCATATTACTTATCGTCATATTAAAGAGATCACAGACCCCAAAAGTTACACATTTGTTCCAAACTCTCTCTTGCCTCAACCTCCCACTCCACCCTCCTGCATCCTTTCCCGCCCCTTATTTACTGAGATGATCCAAGTCATCTGGCCCGAGAGTCCTCACCTAGCCTCCTCTGCTCTCACAAGATCTATCTTTCCCTCCTCTTTCCATCTGTAAAGGAAGAGGTGTTCTTGTGTCTTCTCAAAGTCAATAGTTCCTCATTTTAATCCTAATCTTGTATCTTCTGTTTACTTAAATACCTTGCTCCGTCAATGACTGCATATTTTTCTGGCATCTTTAATCTCTTATACTCCCTTCACTTCCCCTTCATGCATTGTGGAATGGGTACAAAGGGAGGAACACCTCTGCTTCACTCCCTTGTCACCTCTTCCCTCCCCCACATCTCTGATGGGTAGAGAATGAAAGTAAATAAGATGGGCACAATCCCCGCCCTTCTAGAATGTCCCCTGTAGTCAAGGACACGTGAAAAAGCAAGAAGTACTCAGAACCATGAGATGAAAAGCAAAGTGCCTGTGGGAACACACAGCACTAAATCTAGACTTGGGGTCAGGGAGGCACACAGAGAGCAGAGTGGCGTGGTTAAGAGGAAAGATGGTGGGCTACTTGTCTGGCGTCAAACCCCATCTCTACAGCTGTACTTGTCATGTAACCTTGGGCAATCACTTCATTTCGCTGGCCTCAGTTCCCTTATCTAGAAAATGGGGATAAGAACAACATCTATTTTATATAATTGTTGTGAGGGTTAGATTAAATTGTTAGATGTAGTGAACACAGCAGAGTGCCTTGCACATAATAAATGATATATTAAGTATTAACTAGTCTTTTAATATTTATACCAGTCTCTGGACTAGACTCTGCCCCTACATTATTTCATTTATTCCTCACAATGGCCCTTTCAATTACGTTATTTTTGTGTTTCCTTCTTTTTTTCTTTTTTTAGTATAGTTTCCAATTCTTCAGTACCTCTTTGCTATGGAATTCTACCCTGACATCTTTGCTGTGAGACTTTTCAGGACCTCCTACTAGAGAAGGTAGAGTAAGTAGGGTAAACCCACCCAGGCTTACTTCATGTAACTTGCTGGGAACAGAGCATTAATTAGAATGTTATCAGACGAGACACAAACAGGGGTCTTGAATATGCTTACATGATCTGACATGGTCTCTTGCACGTCTGACATTTACTATGAAGAAAACACACCCTTGTTTAAGTGGAATGAGGAGATGCTTGAGGCCAACCCGAACCCAACCCACAGCCCAGGGCAAATCTAGCTGACATTCTGAAGCAGAGCCATCCTGGCTGACCCATAAACCTAGGTTTGTTGTTGTGAAAAAGGTGAGATTCAGGAGTGGTTTCCTATGCAAGCTTGTTCCAGAACACGTGACTAG